TTTTTGTCTCTTTGTTCAGGTTTGTTTACTTTGTTTTCTCACTGACCAGGTGTGCACAGGTAAACTGCAGTCTGTCCTCAGTCGTCACTATCAGGACGTCACCTGTCTGAAGTTCACTGATGACAGCAGCCATTTTGTTTCTGGTGGAAAAGACAACCTGGCTCTGGTGTGGAGTCTGTCAAGGTGAGACATACCTGAAAACACATCTGGAGCATTCTGGAGCTTTTAATCAGGAGTAAGGTGTTTCATGACAAGAAGACAAATGGGAAGTCAGCCAGGAGAGAGGCGCAGTGTCCAGCAGGTGCAGCTTTAGCTGTGTGTGTGTTTTATAAAATTCAGACTTGCCTGGTAAGGTCGGCGCGTCACCTGTGACTCTGAGATGTGCCAGACGGATCTCTGACTCACTTACTCTGTTCACCGTGTTTCAGTGTTGTCCAACTGGATGTAAGCCACGCCCCTGAGCCTCGCCACATCATGTCTCGTCACTCTCTGCCAATCACAGACCTGCACTGCGGCCTGATGGGAGCTCAGGCTCGAGTCGCTACCGCTTCCTTAGACCAGACAGTGAAGGTGAGTTTGTGCACTTCTGCTGATGTCACTCAGCGATCCAGACAGCTGTGACCCAGGTAAAGCGGACAGCTGATGATCTTCATCTCACCATAATCAAGAACAGGAGTTAGCGTGGTATTGAGGAGGAAGCTTACTTCGTTTAGTTTCTTTAAACAAGTTAGTGTCTTGAAACTGTGTCTGTGTCTGCAGTTCATGTAGTAATGGGTTAAATCGTACCAATCAGAGCTCAGCACAGTAAAATATCAGTCATCACAGTCTTAGAGGTGTTTGTTTCTGCTAATTGTCTAGGTATGGGAGCTGTCCTCAGGCGAGCTACTCCTCTCGATCCTCTTTGATGTGGAGATCATGTCTGTGACCTTTGACCCTGCTGAGTACTTCGTGTTCTGTGGAGGAAGTGATGGAAATATTTTCCAAGTGTCTCTGTGCAGCCAGGTGAGTCTGTCTCATTTTTTTCACCCAATCATGTTTTGACTCCTCCCAGCTTTAAGGGGAGACGATAAAGTTTACCTCTTTGAACTGTTTGCAGAGTCTCGGTCGGGAAAAGTCGTTCCAGTCGGATGGCGAAGGGAATCAGGTGTTTAAAGGTCACAGGTGAGACAGCCGCTGGTGTTTGTTTGCAGGAATATGGTCGCATGACATCTCGTGTGTGTGTGTGTGTGCACGGAAACCAGCTTTCTTTTTTCTTCTTTTCAAAATAAAGTCTTACCCTAGAAGCTTTGATGAACCGTTTTTACCTTTTTGTTTAATAGTGAGAAAAAAACTGTGTGGACGCTAAAGCTGGTGGGCCTAAATGTCACGCCACAGGTTCTTAGAATACGAGGGGGAACACGTGTTTCAGAAACCCAGGGAGGAGAGACTGAGCAGGTCTTAATCACACACAGTTTATTCCCCGAGGAGGAGACCAGGAATAAATAAACACAATTCTTTTGCACAACTTTTGCAATAAGATGTTCTTTGTACATTAAATCCCGCCCAGTGCCGCGATAAAATTGTCCTACAACCCAAGACGAATGTTCCTTATATGTACAAGTTAGAGAGAGGAATTCCTCTTCTGAAGTTTGGCTCACGCCAGCCTAGTTTCAGGAGGACG